GGATCGCAACCCTCAGTGTCGAGCCCGTACCGGACTGGGACCGGCCACGGGATCGCAACCCTCGGTGCTGCCCCCGCCCCTCGCTCAGCCAGTGAGCGGCCGGTCTGTATGTGGGATCCGAACCCTCGGCGGGAGCGCCACCGCACTTCCCAAGCGGCGCACTATAGCAGTGTGCCACCGGGCCGGCCCTGAGCCTGTAGTTTTAACTGTAGTTAAATTATTAACAGGCATCTAAATTTTAATGACACTCTTGTAATGTCTGATTTTTTTTTTTTTTTGGCTAAATGGAAATAGCTGAAGTGTGAATATATCTCTAATTTTTTTTTTCCTTTTTGTCTTTTTTACTGACCGGTAACGGGATCGCAACCCTCAGTGTTGCGCCCGCACCACGCTCAGCCAGTGAGCGGGAACCGGTCTCCACATGGGATCCGAACCCTCAGCGGGAGCACCGCCACTCTCCCAAGCGGCGCACTCTCCAGTGCGCCACCAGGCCGGCCCTCTAATTTTGTGATTGACTTGTTAATTTAAATGTTTTATACCAAAAATGGGGAGGGAAAGTATTTTTATATTTTAAACTTATTTATATTGAACTTAAGATAGATCTCAGAGTAATAATTGGATAATAAACTGTCTCAAATCTTAATTATAAATATTTTAAGGGCTGGCTGATTAGCTCGGTTGATGAGAGAACAACCTTATAACACCAAGATCATGGGTTCGGATCCCCCTACTGGCCAGCCACCCAGAAAGATAGATAAATAAAATAAATAAATTTTTTAAAGTTATAGTGAAGTCTTCAGATGAACTTGCAATTCTTTTTCTGTATGCTTTACCTAAAATATTTATAATGTAAAATACATTGTAATGTAAAATATGTTTTTAAAGATTAATGTATCTAAAATAATTTTTATTTGGATGTAGCTTTAGTACTCAATATAAATTTATGTGAAATAATGGAAAAGATAATTTAAATAATTATCCATTTAAATGCAATGTTTTCTCTTCACGCAATAATAATAAATTTGAAGTCACAGGTAATAACTCTTTCCAATTTTTGCATAAATATCATTCAACTTCATGAGAGGTTTAAGGAAACCTAAATGAGAATAGAATCTATGGAATAATTTAGACCAGAAGTGATACACTGATGCATCTTGATGAGGTGGTAGTGACATGGGCCAGAAAGACCTGGCTGGGATCTTTGCTTGGATGCATAGTTACTATTAGGTTTGGCCATGTTACTTTACATTTCTGATCCTTTGTTACCTTGCCTGTAAAAGGTGGATACTAACTTCTACCTCGTGGCATGATCATGAGGAGTGAGATAGTGCATGTAAAAGACCAGCAGAAGCCTGATGTCTAGACCCTTTCCATCCCTCTGCAATGGCAGTCAACACGGGTGGATCACTGTACTTTTTCCTACTTAACCCAGGCACAGCAGCAAATCCTTCCTTTAAAATGTTCCAGGCTATCACCAAGAACTGTCTGGAGTTGACATAGGATATAAAACCCTGACATGGGATACTATCTCTGTAATCAGCAGCCATCGAATATATATGTGTATTTTTTTTTTACTACCACCCTGATTTGTTATTTGGGTTTGTTTAAAAAAAAAAAAGTTACTACAGTAGTTCTAAAGTTAGTCTTGGTAGATATTTAGATGTGATATAAAAAGATAAAGGTTTCCTTTTGACATTTGAGTCTGTGTCATGAAAAGTTCTTTTACAAAATTATATTCCTTCCCTATTTATTTATATAGTACGTATGCCAAATGTCTCTTGATTTAGACAGGTATCTTTTTTTCTTTTCCGAATAAAACCAAAAACAATTTAAAAAATTTCACTTTTGAAAACTGGAAAGTAGTACAAAGAAGGTTTGACAAGTGTATTTTATTTTACTATACAGTAAAAACAAAGATCTTTGATAATCTATGTGAAGTGACTAGAAAACTTGGGCTTTTAAATTTTGTTTCACTCTTACAGTTCTTTTCCTTAGAAAAAGTTTCTTAAAACTGTTAACATCAAATGAATACTATGAAGAAAAGAGTTTGGCTGGCCTTGACATTTTCAAGGAACGTGATTATCTTTTAAATAGATGTTGGGGAAATAGAGGGAAATGGTCAGGGCCCCTCAGATGTTCAGAATCTTGCCAAGCATTTGATGATAATATGCACGGGCACTCAGGTATTCCTTGGTTGTCTAATGTAATTGCACACATGTGCCCAGGTGTCCTGGGGTTTTGGACTTGAGTATAAAGGATGAGTGGCTCTGATCTACAGGGACCCCCACCTCCCGGGGCAGGGGGGGATCGGGGCCATAGGGAGGCCGCTACTGCTGCTGGAGGCTGTTGCTGCCGGTGCCCCTGGAATGCCCCGAGAGGCTGCTACTGCTGAGGACTGAGTTCATGTCATCTGCCAGTGGCTCCCAGGATCTTTCCCAATTACCTAGCGTGGACCTGCCTGTGAGGGGTGTGGTGACCCAGCCTGGCATGTGAGGAGTATGGTGATCCAGTCTGTACAATGGGTCTGAAGGGTCTGAGCCCTAGCCCTGACATTACAAATGGAAACTTCCTATTAACTAAAATAAAGAACGTTTTGGCTTTAGTTATGATTTGCCTAGCCATACAGTTAGCATAGCTATTGCTGTAACCCGACACTAGAAAATTGATGTCTTTTTTTCCCCTAAGTAATTCTGCACTTGTATCTTATTGCCAGTTAGTACATCAACACTGCATTCTGTTCATTCAGCATATCTTTATGTACAGTGTTTAAAAAGTAATTATACTGAGTTTCACAACAGAACAATTTCTAACACCAGAACAGTAGTTTAAAGAGTGAGAAACAGAAGTTAATGTTTTCTTAACTGGATACATGATAGTTTTCCAAACTAAATTCCAACCTTGAGATGGGCTTAAAAATGTTTTAATGTACTGAGTGTTTTGTTGCTGGTTTTGTATCTCTGTTATAATCACATTATCAGTGGAAATTTTCTGTTAAAATTTCAAGATCACTTATTAAATCCCACCCCCGTCTACTATGCACTTGGTATTTTTGGTCAATCTGAAATCCTCCTGCTTAACCTACATAATAAACCATGCAGTTTGTCATGCTTCTAATTTTTCTTTTTTCTTCTTTCAAATGACACCCTATTTATCTTTAATTTTTTTCTTTCTGGGCCTTGATTCAGGACTATTTATCTTAAAATTTTTTAAACTTTAAAATTACAAGTCAAATTGCATTCTCTGTTTGAATTCTTTGTTAATTGCTGTACGTAAATGTATCTAGCATGCTTTAATTATGGAAACTGGTCCTCCCCATAGACGGACACTGTCACATTGAGGCAGAGAGAGGAAAGGGCAGAGAGGGGAGGATGCCCCTGGTAGGTGTGTGTTGACCGGATGCAGCACTCCCCAAAACCGTGTCCCTGCTCTTGGGGGAGGTGTGGCTGTGCAAACCACAGTGCCAAGCCCAAGCAGCAGGCTGAGAGCTGGCAGTGTCAGGTGTTGCTTGTGGATCCTGAGGAATTATTGGCTTTGGGGAAATGAGTTTAGATGTAACTTTTCTTTCCTGAGTCAGGAAAGGCTTTGCTTGGGTTTAAAGGGAATGAAGAACCCAATAATTGTAAATATTTTAGAGAGTAATATATACCCTTGGTAAGTATGAGATTTTAGGGATACATAGGTAAACTCTTGGGCAGAGAAGAGTGGTTTGGCTTGAAGAGTTACTTTCTGGAATGGGGCAGTTTTGTCACTCACTCTGGCTGTGGTGAACTAAACTAAAAACGTGACTGTGCCAAAGCAGGGCTGACTTCGTGTTCCTCATCTTTGTATCTTTGATTCCTAATACGATGACTGGCACCTGGTGAGCGCTTAATAATTTGTTGAACTGATCTAGGCTGACCTGAAGGTTGACAGTGTGGGTTCCAGGTTTCCTAAGGTGGCAGAAGTGGGGAGAACGGCCTCACTGCCCCATGAGCACTGGGCCACCTGTGACTCCATCTGGCACTGCCTATGTGTGGCAGAGCAGTAGCTGGAAACTTAGCCAGCTTTCCCTGAGGGTCAATTTACTTGAATGAGCTTCTGTGCTGTGTATGGGCTGAGGGGGCCTTTAAAATTCAAAGAAGTGCTGGCTCTTCCAGAAGCAGGCATTGTTCATGTGGTTCCCTGGGGAGGTAGTGTGCTGGGGAGACAGCAGGGCTAAGGTCATCCCCTTCTGAGTTTTCAGTGTGGTCTGATAATGCTCTCCTTGGCTCCACAAGAGTTTCTCTTGCTGTTCCCACTGTGATGAACAGACTCCTTACGGTTTACTTCTTAAGTTTTCTCTTTCTGTCAAGGGGAAGCCTGGCTGAGACTGTTCTGTGAGTTTGGCCAAGGAGGGTACCGTGGTTGTTTTCTTGGGAGGCACTTGTGCAGGGAGGTGTTATTTCAAGCCAATTGGAAAGGATAGATGGTGCATTATAAAAACATGAAGCAAAAAATATTTCATTTCAGTGTTTCTATCTTGAGAAAATATAAACGAAGTAACAAATAGTTGGCTGACTTGCAAATTGTTAGTTTCAAAGTCAACTTTTTTTTTTTTTTTCCTTTTTGTCATTTTTCATGACCGGCAATGGATCGCAACCCTCAGTGTCGCGCCTGTACCGGACCGGGACCGGCAATGGGATCGTAACCCTCGGTGTTGCGCCCGCACCTCGCTCAGCCAGTGAGCGGCGGTCTGTATGTGGGATCCGAACCCTCGGCGGGAGCGCCACCGCACTCCCAAGCGGCTCACAGTAGCAGTGTGCCACCGGGCCGGCCCTCAAAGTCAACTTTTGAACTCTATTGTTTCACTTAAAACTAAGAAGTCTCCAGATTAATGCTGGTTATCACTCCCAGAATCTGGTTTCTGCTTATCAGCTTAGCTGTGCCTAATGCAATACCACTCTAATTAGAGGGAAAATTGCTGGAATAATAACTGGGCAGGTTTACCTTACTTGTCTTTATTTTCCTTTTGAACCTTTCAGGTACGACAGTGCCAGCCCACAGGGCCATCCTGGTGGCCCGCTGTGAAGTGATGGCAGCCATGTTTAATGGAAATTACATGGAAGCAAAGAGTGTCCTGATTCCAGTTTATGGTGTTTCCAAAGAGACTTTCTTGTCATTTTTAGAATACCTGTACACAGACTCTTGCTGTCCAGGTAAGCACGTAAATGCTAGATAATAGCTCACCATTCATTCTTTCCTTGTCACCCATTTTGATAAAGTACTTCCTGTGAAATCTGTTTTTGTTTAAGGTTTATCAAAGTTGACATCACAGCATGTGCTAGGCACTTGGCGGTGGTATTGGGACAACTGTGAATTTTTAGTCCTTCCAAGTAGTGACTGGATGCCTCATATGGGTTCCCAGACTCTGGCAAAAATTCACATGTCCCAGCCAGCACCAGTTGCATGGCAATCACTGTAGACACCCTGGAAATGGAGGGGTCTTGTGGTAACCAGCAGCTATGCTAATTCTAGAGACTGGGGCAGAAAGCTCTGCTGAGCACCATCTCTTCCACAAGAAGAAAAGGGTTGGACTACTGCTTTTATGACTTTGATTTCTGGTTGAAGCACTTTTAAGAAGTTCCAGTATTCTGAGGTTCTCCCCCCGCAACTTGGTCTTCTTTCTGGACCAAAGGATGTGGGATTTTTAAAGGCCTCCTTCTTACTTCTCCTGAAGTCGGACTCTCCTAGTAAAGCTAACTTCTCCGAAAACTTTTCTTATGATATTTAGAATGCCCAGTGGACTGTAGGATTTATTTCCAAGTTCAGTGATCAAGGACTGTCTTTGACCAGGAACCAACCATCTATGGCAGCTACAAGATGGAACTGATCTTGCAGGTTTCCTTTTGTTGGAGGCACCTTGGAGAAATAGCAAAATTCTTTCAACAGGCCTGGAACTTTGGGATGCATGGAGGCCCGCTTTGATTAGTCTTCACCCTCTGGCCACCAGATGGCTCCAACCACAAACACAGCTAGAATAAGCCCCAGGTAGCTTAGTCCCGGAGCCTGAGACCTTAATTACGGAACCTGGCCAGTCACCCTAGCAAATTAAAAAAAAATGTATTTCAGATCACACCTCTTCAGGTTCACTGCTTTAATTTTTAGAACTGGGAAAATTTCCTGAGTTTGTTATTAAAATAAGTTTTAAACAGTTGTAAGTCCTCTAGTGAAAGGTTTAAGGAGTTCCGGCCGCCCCGCTCCTTTTATAATTGAATTAATTCTGGTTTTGCAGTTAACTATACAGTATTTTGGAGCCAGTTACAGTTGTTACTGTTAGTATTAAAGACTGGCTTATTATTTTTTGCTTAATAAAAATGAAAGCGTTTGTTCTCATCTGGAAATCAGTGTTATTGTTTATTGTTTCAATATTGATAAATTTGCATACTAAATAAAAAATTTGCCCAGATTTAAAGTAATAGGAAAATTTGGTTTTTCAATCATTCTCTCACTAGAGTAGTGGAAGCTTCTAGTTTTAGATTTTATCTTGCTAATTAGAAAAAAATGCTCAGAAAGCAATAATAGTTATAGGACAAAGCAGTATAAAAATTGGTAAAAAAGTGTGTGGGGAAAAATGAGTCAACATGAATAATCAGAAAATTAAGCCAGATACTGGACTATATGCATTGGGAAAACTGCAGAAAGAAAGTTATTCAATTCATTATGTTAAATATTATACACAGTGTTCTTGGTTTTATAGCTACAAAAGAATGTAAGGAATTTAAGGAGGAATAAGAAAGAATTACATGGAAAGTCAGACATATAGGGAAATGTTTAAAGCAAACAAACTGGGTGGCTGCCAGGGGCTGGGGAAGGGGAAATGGGGAGCTAGTGTTTAATGTACAGAGTTTCAGGTGGGGAAGATGAAAAATGTTCTAGAGACAGATGGTGGTGATGGTTGCACAACAACAAACAAACAAACCCGGGGACTAAAGCCAAGAAAGAGAAATTGCAGGGTTTTAGTTTAAGTAACAGAAAGATTTACCCGATAACCCTGGAATTGATTGTTAAGGGCAATTATAGAATTGCCTTCTCTAGAATATTAAAAAAACAAAAGAGAAAAAGAATGAATTCATTTCTTAGTGTGAAGACTTCAATGAATTCTTTTTAAAATGGAATAATAGGGGGCCTGGCTGGTTAGCTCACTTGATTAGAGCATGTGCTAATAGCACCAAGGTCAAGGGTTCAGATCCCCATACTGGCCAGCTGCCAAAAAAACAAAATAAGTAAAATAGAGTAATAGTTTAGAATACTGACTCCCTCCAGGATTCTCCCAGGCACTCTATTCTATCCTAGATGGTACGGTCAGCAAGTTTTTTGGGTTTTGTTGTGTGGTGGAGTTTTTTTAGGTCATAAAAGAAATGGTTTTATTGTCCATTTTCACTTATCTTCCCTTTTCTCCTCAGCTGGCATTTTTCAGGCCATGTGTCTGCTGATCTGTGCTGAGATGTACCAGGTATCCAGACTGCAGCACATCTGTGAGCTGTTCATCATCACACAACTACAGAGCATGCCAAGCAGGGAGCTGGCCTCCATGAACCTCGATATAGTTGACTTGCTCAAAAAGGCAAAGGTAATTGGCCCGATGTATCTGGTTGTTTGATTTTTTTAAAAAAATACTATAAAAAATTATACTGCTGTCTTAAAGTTTCTATTTTCTAAGAGATACATTAATACTAGTCTCAGTTCAGAAGTTTGCTGAATGAGTATAAAGTGCCTTCACAATAATTTCTGTGGCCAGGTAATTTTGAAGCATTAGGGCTTTGTGTAATCCCTTTCTAAGGAGGTAGAATTTAGGGATATGAAATTTTTTCAATGAAATAGTGGCCCTTAGAGTTATTTGAGAGTAGTGCTGTACTGTATTTTGTAGGCATTAAAGGAAATAGAATTTGCATTGAAATTTCCAACAAAAAGGTCACATCTTAGGGTTCCTGAAAGGAAAATGACAGGATTGGTCCATATATGCTAATAAAGATGCTTAGGCCAAACTCGTTTATTTCTTTATTCATTCATTTCATAAACATGTTTTGAAGTACCAGTTGTATATAGGAGATATTGGTGTATTTCATTAATCCTTGCAAAATGCCTTTTGTTGGTATGTCTCACTATATTAGAATATAGTTAGGAAAATGTTTGAGGTTGGTAGTCACAGTAGTATACAATGCCTTCTGGACTCAGAATGTCTCACTATATTAGAATATAGTTAGGAAAATGTTTGAGGTTGGTAGTCACAGTAGTATACCATGCCTTCTGGACTCTTCTAAGTTCAGGGCCATTTTGTTTTTAAGAATTGTATTGCTGTTTATTCTAGGGAACAGACAGTTTACACAATTAAATTAGTTCTGAGTAACTGCAGTTACAAAGACCCTAGAATATGAATCTGACAAAGTACTGGGCCAGGTGTATAAATAAACTAGGATTGTTGTGTTGAAATCCACTTTCCAAACCCCCCAGATGTGATCCTAAGTAAAAAATCTACCATCTCCTCATTCCTGCTCTCTTTTATCCCTGGGAGCAGAAAGCTTTTCAGATGGATCGTCCTGCCCCTGGTTGTTCTGCCATTCATCCACCACCTGAGACAGCTGCAGGGCTTGTGGTGGTTACGGAACTCCATTGTCGTGTGCTGAGCTGGAGTGAGTGGAACCCTCTAGGTCATTTTCACAGGAATATATTTGACCTGTCACTACAGACTATCAAGACTTCTTAAATTATTATCTGGTAATAGCATAGTATCTACACTACCAACTTTCACATCCAGGGTAAAAAGCATGATAACTTAGTCTTCATCCACATTGCTAAGATGGAGCCACATTATGGGGCAAAGGACAGAACTCTGTGACAGCTAAAAGCTTGTGTCCAGGCTGAGATGAATTCGTTAATCAACATGTATATTTCTGGGCATAGAAAAGAATTCATTTAAAGCATCAAGGTCTTCTCTTACTATCTCCTTAATTATTTTGGACTTCATTTCTCTCATAATGAAGTTTTAAGGTCATAGGTATTTAATGTTAAGGATAAAAATAAATAAAAGCAAATAAAAACTTGAGTAACCCTGATTTCTCTGTGTAATATATTTACATTGAGCTTGAGATAAATAACTCCCCTCCAAATTTAGCTTAAAAATTCGTTTTTATTCTTGCTAGCATTTTCTCCACCTTAGCTCATTTCTGATGTGTTGTTTTCATACTATTCTAACAAGTCTATCATACTTTTTAAAAAATGGACACAAGCTACTTTTTTTTTTTTTAATCTTTTACTAACCTTTTAAATTGCTCATGTACAGCAGAAGAGAACTCCCTGTGTGGTCACACTGACTTCTTTAGGTGCCTCCCCACACCCACACATGCTTGGTTCCTCAACAGGATCATTGTCAGAATTCTTCCTAACCTGTTTTCCCTGACTCTGTAGTTTCTGTGTGATGATCCCTATGTTTTCCCCCTGAATTTAGAAAATTTAAGGTACCAGCTCTTTTTGAATTTTTATTGTTTGTTTCTGGAGACTTTTTTATTTGCTAAGTCTGAGCCTAAATTTGCCAGTTTTCCTTTATTCTATTCCTGGTGGCAATTATAAATCCCAGATAACAGGAAAATTTTCTTCCCAAATTCTCCTTGAAGTTCCAAGTTTAAAAAAAAAAAGAGGGGCCGGCCCGGTGGCGCACTGCTACAGTGCGCCGCTTGGGAAGTGCGGTGGCGCTCCCGCCGAGGGTTCGGATCCCACATACAGACCGGCCGCTCACTGGCTGAGCGAGTTGCGGGGACAACACCAAGGGTTGCGATCCCGTTGCCGGTCACGAAAAAAGACAAAAAAAAAAAAAAAGAGAGAGAGAGAAAGAGCAGTTCCAAGTTTTAGGTTCCACTTTACCTGCCAGTTCATCCTGTTGGTCAAAATTTAATTAACTTTTTCCTCACCGTTTCTCTGACTTCTAGGAAGTAAAATTATCTCTTGGCAGAATTAGATTCCTAGTAGCTCTCTGAATGGTCAAAATTTCTAATCACTCTATTATCATCTCCACCAGTTTTGTACTGTGCATCAGGAAAACGTCATCCATTCATACCTTCTTATCTAGATGAACAGTTTTGGTATTCTCTTACTTCTGCCTCCATTTTCCTCTAACCTCTCAATTCTTTACCATGATTCTACCCTCTGTTCCTGTATTTCCATCAAGATGAACTCTTAACATACAGGAGATGCTTGTTTCCCCTAATAGGATGAATTTCTTCTTATCTCTACTTCCATTTAAACCCTATCTGTCCAAACTTTGGTGATGCCTACAAAATTATATTTACTCTCATAGTAAAAGTTTAAATTCATCTTCTTACTTGTAGTCTATATATTAATTGGCTACCTGAGGCTAAAATTTTTATTTCTGACCTTTTCCTGTGAGTTTCTGGGTACTTTCTCCACATCTTTCATATAGCTCTTAAGTTCTATAGTATTTGGTTTATGGTTTTTCAATGCCTTTCTTTTTTATTCTGTTACTTATTTCAGTTTAAACCTATTTTCTTGGGTCAGCACATATTCCTTAAAAAACCTAGTTTTTATTTTTACAGTGAGATGCATTCCATCTCTTTTCAACAGCCTACAATTATGATATCTTAAAGCTTGGTCAAAAATAAAATTCTGCATTTTAAGCATGTTTTTGTAGTCAGCTGTTCATTTCTGTGATCTTTCTTCTCTTTCAAAGTCACAGCCCTTAGGCAATATCCTGACCTTCTGATGTAGGTTATCTGCTCTGGGTTAATCATCTAATGGTAGTGGTGGCTTCTTCTCAAATAGCTATAGATTCTTACTCTATTCCCTTGAGATCAGTCACATCTGCTAAAGATAAGGGCAGAAAAGATTGTTAAAATGTGATGTGAGATGAGATGAACTATAAAGTCCCTTCTAATTCAAAAATTTTGATTTCATATAATGAAAATACAAGGGATCTGTGAATTTACATGTTAAAACATTCTCACGCTATATACATCTCTTTAAAAGAGCAAATCTTGAGTTTCGTCCTTAAGATTTGAGATTATAACTTTCTCTTCAATTTAGTGTTACTTATTGCTTATTTAATATTTTTGATTGTCCTGAAAAGAGATATATACTTAACCAAAAGGTGGAAACAATCTAAATGTCTGTCAATGGATGAATGGATAAGCAAAATGTGGTATATACACACAATGGAATATTATTCAGCCTTAGAAAGGAATGAAATTTTAGGGCTTGCCCGTAGCTCACTGGGGAGAGTGTGGTGCTGATAACACCAAGGCCACGGGTTCGGATCCCTATATAGAGATGGCCAGCTAGCTCACTTGGAGAGCATGGTGTTGACAACACCAAGTCAAGCGTTAAGATCCCCTTACCAGTCATCTTCAAAAAAAGGAAGGAATGAAATTTTGATACATGCTGCAACATAGATAAACCTTGGAAGACATTATGCTAAGTGAAGTAAACCAGACACGAAAGGACAAATATTGTACGGTTTCACTCATATCAGGTACCTATAATAGTCAAACTCATAGAGACAGAAAGTAGAATAGTGATTACTAGGGTCTGCAGGGAAGGGAGAAAGGGGAGTTATTGTTTGGTGGGTACAGAGTTTCAGTTTGGGATGACAGAAGAGTACTGGAAATGGACAGGGGTAATGGTTGCATAATCATGTGAATATCCTTAATGTCACTGACCTGTACACTTAAAGATAGTTAAAATGGCAAGTTGTAGGTTATGAATATTATACCACAAAAATAATAATAATAAAAAAACCCTGTACTTATGTACCATTGGAAATGGACAGGGGTAATGGTTGCATAATCATGTGAATATCCTTAATGTCACTGACCTGTACACTTAAAGATAGTTAAAATGGCAAGTTTTAGGTTATGAATATTATACCACAAAAATAATAATAATAAAAAAACCCTGTACTTATGTACCAAAGTTGCCTGCCAGCATGTAACTAATCCGAATTATGGTTGGATGGATCAGTGACTGTCCCTGGATTGGCACCAAGGTGGTGATGTCAATGGCCATGTTGCTCTGAGCTTTCCCTCCATTGATAGCAGTTGAAACTCAGAATGAGAATTGTGCAGGAAATCCTGCTCAGTATAACAGTACACCCCATTAAAAGCAACTATCAGATGAAACTCTCTTATAGAAATATTTATACATCGAAATCCACCCTCTTAAGCCAATGATGTTTCCTTCTCAAAATATTTTTTGGTTTGCTCCTAAGATGAACTTTAGATATTGTTTAGATATCATTCACCATAATGTTATGTCTGTTACACAGATGCAAGTGCAGTAGTGAAGTTCATGACCTTAGATTAACACCTTAAAATGAAATTCTCAAGGACCTCAAATAGTCTCTGTTAACCACAGATGCAGCGAAGCATTTGCTTAAAGATCTTGGCCCCTCCAGCAGCAGTAGCCTGTTATTCACTATTGATTTGGTTTCTTCATTGAGTGATGTAGGTTTATTATTATTTGTTAGTAATGCTCCCTTTTCCTTTCTGCTGTCACAGTAGACTGAGGCTGCATCACATGCAGACACATTGAACATGGACATGGGCTCTCCACGATTTCTCCCTGACCATTCTCTCCACCTGATCATCACAATCATCATGATGTTGTTACGTACAATGGTGTTTCACTTTTCATTTTTCTTGCAGTTTCACCACTCTGATTGCCTTTCAACCTGGCTACTTCATTTCATTGCCACTAACTACCTCATCTTCAGTCAAAAGCCTGAATTTCAGGATCTTTCAGGTAGATTGCCAATTTTTGTTTTGAAAAGAAAACTTTATGGTCTTTGTTCTTAGATTTGAGACATAATTTGTAGAAATAGAAATAGTTTTAATAAAATAACAATAGTCAATATAACACATTCTTTTAAATTATGCAATGTGGTAATTGAGGACACTTAATTTACAGTCACCTGTGTTATATAAGGAGCTTGACCTGTGTTACACAAGAAGTTTCCTAATAATTATTTTATAGCTCCCATCCATTTTTAAATGCATTTTTTTTTTCTGAAATAGATTAGGTGGTGAAATGTATTCTCAGGTGGTGTTTGGTTGTGATAAACACGATCTTAGTTTTAACTATTTAAGTCTGAAGCAAAACAGTGCAGATTAAAATTTTTTTCCTTGTAAAGGAACTTAACTATTGTTTATTATTTATAATACATAGTTTTATTGTACTGGATATCTACATTTATGAAGCATATCTGTATAGGAGTTATTATATTACTTTGGAGTAACAATTTCTATTGATCAAAGGGTGTTTTGAAACTTCACTGAACAGAGTATATGTAATGTGATTTCTAAGGTAAATTATAAAGATTAAAACCAATCAAACTGTGAGCTTCTGAGTACTGCATAAGAAGAAAGAATGAAAATAGAATAGTTGTCAGAGTGGATGATCAGTTTAGATACAGTGGTTTGCTCTTGTTATTACCAGCATAGACTCAAGGGAAAAAAAAGACTCAAGGAAAAGGAAATGAAAGATTACCCAGTCAAGTAGCTTCACACTCTGGACAAAATATCCGTGGAGATACCTAAAGGTCTTCTGGGCTAAGGGGCAGAAATTAGGGGCAAGTGAGGAGAAGAGGAGGGAGGGACTAGGGGAAAGGGGAAGAAAGAGCTTAAATTTACTGTTCTCAGACTCTTTCCTTGCCCCGTCAATCAGAGTAGTTCCACTTTTATCTGTTTTAATCCTAGAATTCTGCATAGAATTTGGCTTTGTAAAAAGGATTCTACTGATAAAAGATGTGAAAATCTCTTGTTTTTATTTAGCTACACGTTATACAGCTAAGGAAGCCAAGGGACACACAAATCAGTTTTGGGCAGAGGTATTCAGCCAGTCACAAACATAGTATGCCTGTTGGGAGCCTCCTTAGATAGAATTCAACTATTAATACAGTAGAGTAATATAATAAGTCAAAGCAAAACAACAGGTATTTATTAACCATCTACTTTGTGCATGAAAAAACAAAAGTCTATTCATAAAGATAGGACTATGTGCTGTCAGTAGGATATTCTCACATAGGTATTCTTTAAGAAGTGAATTAAAAATTAAACAAACTGCCTTTGATCTTAGAGCCACTTTCATTATGTCACCTTAGGTCACCTTCAATTGTAAAATAAGAATAAGATTATTTTCCACTTACTCTTGTATAGATGTATGATATACATGGAGTACTATTACAACCTTGGGAGAAAGATGCTCTATAAATCCTTTTAGTTATTAATTTTATTATATTTTATTACTTACACAATCGCCTATAAAGTATGTTATGACCACCTGGCCTTGTGAAAAGCAGGGCTTCAAGGTGTAATCTGAGATGGCAGGGTGAGGAGCTGAACTGTATCAGTGGTTGTCCTCTGTTCCTTTGATGTGAATAAAACAGGCGTCCTGAAAGCTCTGATTCCAGTGCCTGTTCGTTTCCAGGAGCCTGCTGTGATGCGCATCCTCCTGAGCAGAGGGAAAAAATCCTACTAGATAAGGAAAAATTTGATTGTCTAAATCAAGGGTTGCATACGGGTAGTCTATGGGTTGAAAGTAGCTTGCCATGGGGTTTTATTTGCACACATGGTTGTATTCATTGCTGTTTTTTAAAAATAGTGTTGGTATTTAAAAATTTCAAATTTCTGGCTTCTTTTGAAAAATTGGACAATCTGGCTACTCTGGGCCCATCTTCCCACAAGCAACAACCTGTATCTGGGCTCCAGCTGCCCATTGAAAGGAGCATGTCCTCTTCAGAAGGTCACAGCCACCTTTCCTTCCTATTGCCTCATACCTGGCCCACTTCACCTGGTCATTTGAAGTTGGAAAGGGTCCTTGCCACAATTACTTTAAAGCTTTCTTGTAGAATTGCCCATTTTTCAGCTTCAAAAGTTATCAACTTATTGTTAAAATTCTACGAATTGTTTTCTCTTGACTGAGAATTTTCTTTTGTAGAGGCATTAGAAGTAAAAAAGTGAGACTGGAAAAGATCTCATGTCAGTGCAGGCACAGATATATCAGAACTCAGTTAAACAGATCGTTAAATATAAGATTTTTATATACTAGACCCCTGAAAACAAATAGCAATGCACAAGAATATGTTACCCTGGACATTTATGGATTCGTTATTCTCACAGTTTAATTTAGCTCAGTATTACAGTATGTGTTGCATATTATGGAGTTTTTGTTTGTTTGTTTTATCTTTGTTTTTGGCTCATTTCCAGAGCTCATCTGTAATAACTTTCCTCTGTTTTTTTAATCTTAACTGAGGGAGTAGTTTCATGTCACCTTTGCTCCTAAATGAAACTTAGAACTAATTTCTCTGAGCAGCTAGCTTTGTTTCTTTTTATCTAGGTCCTGCAGCTTGGATCAAGATCTTGTTAATCCAGATTTTAATAGATGAGGTTAAATGGTAGACAGAAAAGTGGAAATTGACTTAAAAGGAAACTTTAGAGTCCGCAGAAGAGGATACTGATGAGAAACAAGCTGATTAACCCAGCAGAATCCCAAAAGCCCTAGAAATTTGAGGTACCAGGTGTTTTAGAAACCAGAATGAGCCTTAGGGCTGAAAGCAGTGGAATTAGTCAAATGTTGATTAAGAAGCTTTTGCCACACGCCACTCCACCCAGGCAGGCAAATATTTCTCCTGAACAGAGTATATGTAATGTGATTTCCAAGGTAAATTATGAAGATTAAAACCAATCAAATTGTGAGCTTCTGAGTACTGCATAAGAAGAAAGGATGAAAATAGAATAGTAGGAGATGGGAGGTTTATTTCTGGAGAAATCAGACAAAAAATGTTATAGAATCATGAACTTTGGGTACATCTGAGATCAGGGGTGAGGAGCTGGGCTGAAACGTGGGGGTTATGTGACATTATTTAGGGAAGTTCTAGGCTCCTTCCCTTACTGATGTTCTGAAATTCTGGAAGTGATATATTTGCCACCCCAACCCCCATACCCTGGTCATGAATTTGAAGCATCCTTCTGTGGCCTCAGAGAAAAAGTGTACAGGTACAATTTGGGAATGCACTGCTGAACCCAACAGATATCTGCCCAATCATGCTATGGTGTATTCCACCAGTCAGCTAGTCCTACCTGTGCCCAAAAGGTTTTCAAACAGCTTTCCAGTATCTCACTCTTAAATATCTTAAATAAAAATGATCTCTCAAAATAAGAGATCATTGAGGATTAACTGATGTTTGAAGCAATCTCCCACATGAAATATAGATACCAACAATGAAACAAAATAAATAAAAATAGAAGATAATAAATTTAGAGGAACAGAGAGACACAGGAGTAGAAGAAAACCTAAAAAATACCCTAAAATTAATACCCTCAAAGAGTGAGAGATATACATCCATAAAGCAGAACTAGAACACTGTTAAGAAATAATCAGACAGAAAGCAGGACGGTGGTTGCCAGGGGAAGGGGGGAGGAGGAATAAGGAGTTTAACGTGTGTAGAGTTTTACTTTTGCAAGATGAAAAGAGTTCTGGAGATTGGTTGTATAACAATGTTAGGACAGTGGTTGCCAGGGGAAGGGGGGAGGAGGAATAAGGAGTTTAAGGTGTGTAGAGTTTTACTTTTGCAAGATGAAAAGAGTTCTGGAGATTGGTTGTATAACAATGTGAGTGTACTTAACACTAGTGAATAGTACATTTAAAGTTCGTTAAGATGGTAAAGTTTAAGTATGTGTATATTACCACAATTAAACAATAAAAGAATGAAAAGTTCTTTCTGGAAAGTAAAAATATGATAGCAAAAAAAGCCAAACAAACAAACAAAAAAAACTAAATAAAAGAATTGATAGATTAAGGTAAAGAAATCTCCCAGGAAGTAGGACAAAAAGATAAAGTGATAGATAGGAGACAAAGATGTTTTTTAAAATTGGAGGCTCAATCCAGAGGTTGTATTATCTGACTAATATAAGTTCATACAGAAAAAAGCAATGGGGAAGAAATTATCAAATAACGCAAGAAGTTATCTCAGTACTAAAGGACCTGAGTCAAAAAATTGAAAAGATTTGCTAAATGCTCAGCTTAGTGAATGTACAAGGTACACGATTGGTACATATAAGAACAATGAGTACATATAAGAACATTGAGTATAAACAGAAAAATATAGAAGTTTCCAGGATTAAAAAACAAAACAAAACACATACACACAGATCACTTACCAAGAACTATGAATCTGCATGGCAGTGGAGTCCTTAACACCCTTGGGAACTAGGAAACCTTGGAATACTGTCTTCAGCATTCACAAGGGAGTCGGCAACCTAGAATTCTATACCAGACCAAAGTGTCAATCATATGTGAGGATAGACTAAAGACACTTCATCACAAACAAAATCTCAAAAATACTTCTTAGCCCTTTCTCAGGAAACTAATAAAGGTTGTGTTTCACCGAAACTAGAGAACAAACTGAAGGGCCCTGGGGTTGAGTGGTGGGATCCAACAGAAAGACGTGAGGGGGTCCAGAAGTCAGGAGGCCTCCCGGGCAGCCACAGTGGAGACATGATCTGATGACTGTGATTGGGTGGGAACCACAGAGAAGACTTTCGAGAGTTTGGAAGGTTGAGTGAGCTACAAAGAAAACTAATAGCTAAATGGAAAAAAATGAGTCAGTCACCTCCAGGAAAAACAAAAGTTTTCTTGAAAAAGAAAAGGAAAAAAATCAAATACTACTTGGTGAAGCAGTGGAGAAGATGTTTATCATTGTAAATCACATAACATAAATCCTGATGACTGATTTAACCAAAACTGTATTAAATGATTTTGGAAGGCTTGAGGGAACGGTAGAGAGTATATAACAGAGCTTGGATCTCATCTGTTAAGTGGGAAGTCAATAGATAATATCTTCACTTGATCTGAAATAAAATATATTCAATTAACATTTTTTTTTTCTTAAAATTTTAGTGGAAGAACGCAGTTTTGTTGAAAAGCACAGATGGCCATCGAATATGTACTTGAAGCAGCTTGCAGAATACAGGAAGTATATTCACTCCCGGAAATGTCGTTGCTTAGTAATGTAACCTGGAGCTTTTATATACATACACTTTTATATACATACACTTTTTTTATTATTATTATTAAAAATAGGATACCTCTGGGTTCCATAAAATTCTTATGACTGAAACTAATGTGGGCTTTAAAAAAAATCACCATACAGCTTAATGTATTTATTAGGTCTCCTTGAAAAAATTACTATTATTGTCCTAAAAGGGAACAAAATATACTGTAGACTAAAATTAAGACTTCACCCTAGAATATAAAGCTGTTGCACAGCTATGTTTTCCCTTTAACATGTCCTGTTGCCTTAATGATATTAAAACTCCTCCCAGTTAGGGAATGTTTTAAGTTTTTTAAAAATCTTATAGGATTAATACAGAAATTTCATCATCTGATTAATTGCTGTATTAAAATAAAGGACATTTAAAAGCCCAGTATAACTGTTTCTAAAATGAGAAATCTAGGAGAAGACTAATCAGTCCAATGTGAGATTTTAGAAATAGAAATTTGCCTGGGATTTTGAAAAGTGAAATGCCGCTTAATTCCAAATCAGTGACAGCGTTTGAATCATCACGAAGAAAACCTGTTTTTCATCTGGACAACCCAGCTGAACTAACTTGTCTCCTCCCTGGGATTCTGATTAGTCTGGAAAGCTAAACACGGCCCACTTTCCCAGTGTGTCACCTGTGTAGTTACACAGGGCCCCACACTAAGAAAGGCCCTGCTGCACTAGGGTCAGTGCTCTTGAAGCTTTTAATAATGTTTGAAGAAGGGCTCTGTGTTTTTCAGTTTGCACTGGGTCCCCCAAAATATGTATATTTCTTGGCAGGAAATAAACTATGTTTTCTTGCTCAAACGTCATTCTCTCTGAAAGCAGCAAAGAGGCGATGGTACCAAGGAAAGAGTAGGAGGCTTGCTGAAGGGAAGAGAGCATAAAAGGATTTCTGACTTTGGGGACGTCTGTACCATCCAGGACCTCCACTACCACTTTAGCTGGGCAAGTGAGAAGTGAGTTGTGTTGTCTTAGAACATCACAGTTCTGGCTCTATTGCAGATGAACCAATACTTTCTTGATCATTCTGTAAGACCAGATGTTGTAAGAGTGACCAACCAGGCTGACTTTAATACACTTTAACTTGTAAAGATGCTCATAGAAAAAGATGCTTTTTAGAGAATTTGTTATCGAAGACTCAAGACTTGGTTTTTGTTTGTTTGTTTGTTTTATTAACTAAGATTAGAATGTCACTGACTTGAACTGTTTAAATAACTTGGTTTTTGTTTGTTTGTTTGTTTGTTTTATTAACTAAGATTAGAATGTCACTGACTTGAACTGTTTAAATTTTTTCCAAGGACTGAAAGGTTATTTGATGAGGAATAGTGTGAATCTTATCCTTCAAGATTACTCAGTAAATTGAAAGAAAAGATACAAATCGAAGACTTGTTACATGTAGAGAGAATGGTACTGGGTTAGAGGACAGAATTATAGTTACTCTTGTATCACATGTATACAGAAATAATTACATCGGAAGCTCACAAGCCTAGAGATGGAGAACAGATTGCTATTGATAATTAGCATAATTTCCATCTGCAATTCAGTATTGGAATATACTTTCCTTTTAATTTCCAGTGACTTTAGAGTACATATAGTTTTTCAAAGGTTTGATTAAACAGTTTCATACTATAGTATTAGGATCCCTTACAGTTAGCCCTTGTATGTAAACCAACACTGTCAGAGTAAAACAGTAAAAATTCCCTGTAGATATATTCCAAGAAACCTGATTTTAACTGGACTGCGTTAATGAAGATTACTAGAATGCATTTTATGTTTTTTGTATTTTAATCACATTAGTTATTCTACTATTGGAAAATCCCACTTGACAAGGAATAGCATTGTAAAGAATAGAGACTGTAGTCTCTATTTTAAGAACTTGGAAAGTTTAAGAACTTGGAAAATGCAGTGACTGCCCTTTGTTCTTATAAATAAAATTATATAAATTACAGCATTTAATATTCTAAGTCAGTAACTTTTAATCTAGGAAATTGAAAAATGTAAGTTGCAAAGCAAAATATTTTCTTGAAAATACTATTTAACATTTAAATAGACTGTAGATAGTTCTTTTAGGTTGTTTGACCTGAATGGGAGTTGGGTTTGGAAGCTGGTACTCTGTTGGTGTGGAGCATGGTGAAAAATGTACATTACAAAGCATGGTGAAAAATGTAAGTTACAAAGCAAAATATTTTCTTGAAAATACTATATAATGTTTAAATAGGCTATAGATAGTTCTTTTAGGTTGTCTGACCTGAGTGGAAGCTGGGTTTGGGAGCTGGTGGTCTGTTGGTGTTGAGCACACAGTTTTTATTATGAAAGTTCTTTACCACCTGTGTGAGTGATTCAAACACCCAGATGTCACAGCTCTCCAGGGCTAGTCAGAACAGTAATCAAATTAGTTTTTAAACCCATTTGGATGTAGACTCTTCAATATCTTTCAATTAACTGTATTTAAAATAACAAGATATTTAAAAATATTTACAAACTGGGAGAAATGAGTGCTGATTTTGAAGGGTTTTTTTTAATTGAAAGATTGTTTCTAGATGAGTGTACGCTTTGTGCTGAAATCTGCTTCAATATATTTACCAATCATTTTAATTAGAGAAGATACCATACAGTAGAACTAAGGCCTTTCCTTTCCAGGCCAGATTTTCACCCTATTTAACCCTTTGTATATTTCTAACTACTCCATGTTCATATTGTAGAAAACTAGATTTGTAATATAGAGCTTTCAGTAACATAACCGAAATAATCCTATCCAAGCCAGCATGATAGCTTCATATTGGGTAGCAGCAGAAGACTGAAGAATTGACTTCCAAATCAGCTAAACTTTTCAACTGTAATTTTAAAAACTACACTACACTGATTTAGTTATTAGACAAAAATGTCCTCAGAGTACTTTATTTTATTTAAAGCATCTGTTTAATTGAACCTTTAATAATTTTGCAAAGGGTA